CTGTGCCATGTTTCCTGCTTGCCCTGGCCTGTTAATCCTGTGTTGTCTACATCAGAACTGGAGATTTATTTTGTTTCCTTCTGTACACATGAAACCACTGGTAGCCCCAACTAATTTTGCAGCATGTGGCCACTTAGATACCCTATGTCCTCCAGCAGCTCTCCTCCATTTGTGCTTCTGGGAGTGAGGCAAGTGTCTGAGCAGAGGACTGTTCCTGACTGGGGCAAGCAGACTACGGCATTCCAGGCTGGAGGAGGCAGCTGTGGGAACCAACCGATCCATTGGCCTCTGTCACTCACCAGAGAGGGTCGTGCTGCTCTCTACACCCTGACCTCCCTGAGCTTAAACATCTTAGCAGGTGTGTGACCAATCCTCCCTCGCTCCATGACTCTCTCTCATGGCTGTCACCTACCCAGTCACCTCAGTAGGTGTCCCTATGGTCCCTGATTTGTGGTGGTTCTATGATTACTAATCTGTCAAAAGGCTCAGACCCAAGCAGTAAGACTTGTCTTTATGGCTCCTGGTTGTACTCTCCTCTCTGAGACACTAAGTGCACAGCAGTGGATTTCAGAGCCAATCTGCCAGACTAGATGGGTCACAGCTTGCAGTGGGTTTCTCTTGAGGCTAGGACTGTCGATCTGTTATTTTTTATCATCAGAGCTGCTTGTACTTTTTGGGCAGAATCAATCGTGTTGCTTTTCCTCCAAGGACCCAAGATTGGCATCCCCACTACTTTGTGCTTTTCTCTGTTTGCCTTTCTGGTTTTCTGTGCCTTTTAGCTTCCCTCCCTCCCTCCCTCCCTTTCTCTCTTTCTTTATTTTTGCAGGTACTCCTTTCTTTCTCTTATAAATATAGTTTTTCCTTTGTTGCCCTAACTTTTCTTACTTGCAGAATCACTCAGAGGTACTTGTACCATCTGACTTAGCAGTCAAGCTCAAACTTGATGTGAGGCAGAATAAAATAATTGCTGCTTTGTCTTTTTTTAGAATAACATATTTTTTGTTCATTGAAGAACTAACCCCTAAGAGAGATGAATATTAAGAGTGCTTTTCATGCTTCAGGCCGATAGAAAAAGGGAAAAGGCAATCTGGCTAAATAATAGATCATTGTGGAAAACATTCAATTTTTACCTTTATTTATTTATTTATTTTTGGGCCATACTGGGGATTGAACTCAGTGCCTTTGTACTGAGCTACATGCCCAGACCTTTTTAAGTTTTATTTATTTTACAGGGTTTCCCTAAGTTGCTAAGTAGCCTAGCCTGGATTTAAACTTTCAGTCTTCTTTTCTCAGCCTCCTGGAGTGCTGGGATTACAGGTGTGTGCTACCATGCGTGACTCCAGGGGCTTTCAATTCCAGGTTATAATAAATGCGTCATTTTTTTTCTTCCATTACCTTACTGATTGACATTTGAGTTGCTTCTAATTTTTGTCTTTTTAAAATGCATTTGCTATGAATATTCTTATACATGTCCTTTTTTTTTTTTTTTTTTTTTTTTTAAAGACGGTCTCACTAGGCAATTTGGGCTATCCTTGGCTATATAGCCCAGGCTAGCTGAGACTCCCAGTGATCTTCCTGCCTCATCCTCCCAAAGGCTGGGATTACAGGCATGTGCCACCAGGTGTGGCATGATACTCATTATTTCTGGAATAAGATGAAGGTTCAGTGTTGGTTTTTTTGGTACTGGGGATCGAACTCGGGTCCTTGTGCTTGCAAGGCAGGCCACCAAACCACTGAGCTAAATCCCCGGCCCCCGCACTGCTGTTTTAATTTGCATTTCTTGAGTGGCCAGAAATGTTGGGCATTCTTTTGAGTGTTTATTTGCTGTTTATTCTTTTTCTTTTGAGAAATATCTATTCATTTCAGATGCCCATGTTTTGATTGAGTCTTTAAATTTAGGAGGTCTAATATTTTTTGAGTTCCTTATATATTCTAGATATTTATCCTTTGTCTGAGGAGTAGATGGTAAAATTTTTTTTCCCATTCTCTAGGTTGTCTCTTCACTCTGTTGGTGGTTTCCTTTGCTGTGTAGAAGCTTTTTAACTTGATGTGATCCCGTTTGTTGATTCTTGTTATTTCTTGTGCAAGTGGGGCTTTGTTCAGAGTCTCTGCCTGTGCCCATATCTTCAAGAGTTTTGCCTGTTTTATCTCTCAGCAGATTAATCTATTTTAGTATTTAGATCTTTGATCCATTTTGGTTTTAGTTTAGTGCATGATGAGAGAGATAAGTCTAGATTCAATCTTTGGCATTTGGAAAGCCATTTTTCTCAGCACCCTTTGGTAAAAATACTGTCTTTACTTCAGTGAAAGTATTTGTCTTCTTTGTCGAAGATAAGGTAGTGATGTGTACCTGGATTGTTTCTGCATCCTCTGTTCTGTTCCATTGATCTGCAAGTCTGTTTTTTTTTTTTTTGCCAACACCGTGCTGTTTATATCACTGTAGCTTTATAATATAACTTGAAGTCTGGGATTGCCTACCCTGTTTTGGTTGGATTTTTTTCTGGTTTTGGAATCAGGGTAGTGCTTGCTTCCAGAAATGACTTTGGGAATATTACTTCCCTTTCCATTTCATTAAAGAATTTGAGGTGTCTTCTCAAAAGTTCTTTGAGAATTCAGAAATAGTCTATCAGGACCTAAGCGTTTTTTTAGTTGGTCGTAATTCAGAAATAGTCTATCAGAACCTAAGCATTTTTTTAGTTGGTCGTATTTCTGTTACTTCTTCTATTTCACTGAGTGATACTCTTATTCAGGATCTTTATATCTTGGCTCAGCTTTGGTAGTTCATATATATCTAGGAATTTCTCCATTTCTTCTGAATTTTTCATGTTATTAATGTACAGGTTTTTGAAGTTACTACAGACAATCTTCTGAATTTCAGCAGAATCCATTGTGATTTTACCTTATTTCAAATTGCATGGATTTAGGTCTTTTCTTTCCTTACTTTGGTAAGATTGGCTAAGGGTTTGTTTATTCTTTTTATTCTTTCGAAGAACCAACTCTCTATATTCATTGATTTTATTTTGTATTTTTTTGTCTCAATTTCTTTAATTTCTGCTCTGATATTTATAATTTCATTCCTCATATTAGCCTTGGGTTTTAATTTTTTTCCCCCATAGGACCTTGAGGTACATTATTGGGTTATTTATTTGAGCTTACTCTTTTCTGATGTGGGAATTCACCACTATTCTTGCACTCTGTGTCATAGGTTCTGATATGTCATACAGGCATTGTTATTTGATTGTAGAAACTTAATTGTTACTTGAATTTCATCTGTAACCCATTGATTATTCAGGAGGGTACTATTGAATTTCCTTGTGTTTGTTTAGTTTCTGTGGTGTCTTTTTTCATTGATTTCTAGTTTCATTGAACTATGATCTGATAATATGTGTGGGATAATTTTGATTCTTTACATTTATTAAGCATGCTTTATAGGCTAATATATGGTCTGTTATGGATAAAGTCCCATGTGCCAATGGTAAGAGTGTGTATTCTGTATTGTTAAATGAAACACTATGTAGGTATCTCTTAAGTCCATTTTTTTGAACTCTGACATTTTTTCAACTCTGACATCTCTTTGATTTTGTCTAGTTGATCTGTCCATTTGAGACAAAGGGATATTGAAGTCTCCTATTAAAATTGAATTTGTGTTTTTCTGATTTTTCTTGTCTATGACTGTTTGTTTTATGAAGTTGGGTGTGCTGGCATTTGGTGTTTATAATTGCTATCTCTTTCTATTGAACCATCCCCTTAACCAAATGTAGTGACCTTCTTTGTGTCTTCTGGTTAGTCTTGGCTTGTAATCCACTTTTTCTGAAATTAGTGTAGCTATTACTGCTTTTTTCTGAGTTCCCATTGTATGGAATATTGTTTTCCATTCTTTGATTTTTAATCTGTGAGTTTCTTTTTGAATTAAATGTTTCTTGTATATTAAATGTTGGATTTTGATTCTTAATTCACTCTGCTAATCTGTGTCTTTTGATTGGGGAATTGAGACCATTCATATTGAGAGTTACTACTGAGAGGTATTGACTTATTCCTGTCATTGCACTACTATTGATCTCCCCCATACACACACACACGCACACACTGTGCCTTAGCTGCTCATCCTGCCAAGTATATTCATTCTTTTTGAGTTATTGGCATTTTGGCATCATTATCTTTTTCTAGGATATCCTTGAGGATTTTTTGTAACACTGGTGTGGAGGTCATAGATTTCTTGGAAATACCTTTTCATGGAAATATCTTATTTTCCTATCAATTTTAAAGGAAAGTTTTGCAGGACATATAAGTTAGAGTTAGAAGTTGTTATCTCTTAGGGTTTGAAATACTTCTCTCCAAGCCCCCTAGACTTAAAAGTTTGTATAGAGACATTCACGATAATTCTAGTCAGTTTATCTTTATAAGTGGTTCATTTCTTTTCTCTAATAGCTTTTAAGATTTTTGTTTCTGTGATGGACTTCGGTACTTAAGTATAATATGGTATGGAAAGTTCTCTTGTAGTAATGGCTGTATACCCCATTTATTTGGATGTTTATCTTTCCCTGTTTTGTGACATTTTCTGCCATTATTTCTGTGAGCAAGTTTTTTTTTTTCTTTTGGTACTGTGAATTGAACTAGGGCCCTTGCACTTGCGAGGCAGGCAGTGGCACCACTGAGCTAAATCCCTGACCCTAAATTTACATTTTAAGACAGGATCTTGCTATATTGTCCAGGCTGGTTTAGAACTTGAACTCTTTGCTTCAGCCTCTAGTGTAGCTAGGATTCTAAGTAGGCCACCATGCCTAGCTCTCCCATTTCCTTTTATAGACATCTTAATTACTTTTAAAATCAGATTTATTACTTTCTGTTTTATTCTAGAAGAAACTCTAGTTGAGTTGCGTGATACAAATTTTGCATTCAGAGAAACAGGTGTTAATTGAGAAAACAGCTCATATCGATCAATTTATAATATATAATTTGATATCTTAATTTCTCTCTGTTGTGGTTTTTTGTTTTTCAAGGAATCATCTGTTGCAGTTTGCTTTAGAGTCACCACCCATATCTCCTGCCTCTTTTTCCTCAAAGAAACTTGCTGTCAAAGTACGGAGTCCTGGAGCCTTCAGAGAATCTTTAAAGCAAGGCAACAGGGCAATGGACAAGTTTTTGATCAGAGAAACTGGTGGTTCTACATCAGAGGTGTTGATAAAAGAAAATGACAGCAAATTCAGCCATCAAAAAGAGGCAAGCCCTTCTTCTACAGAGACCAGAGAGACATGTTTTATAGAAAAGATGACACTTGGTACCCCAGATGCTAATAGGGCTGAGATACCCTCTACATCCTCTTTGAAACAGGTTGCTAAAGGTAGGAGATTATTTTCATATGTGCATTTTCTTGATGGAAATTCTGTTGTCTATATGGCATAACAATAAATAGCAGTTTTGAAGAGAAAGGAGTGGAAAGGAACAGACCAGAATTTACCTTAACACAATCACAGAGATGGATATAATCATTGCTTATAGATGTGTTTATTTTCTTTCTCTCTCATAGAGTGGAAATTCCACATGATCCTTGAAAAAAATGAGACAGTTTAATTAGCTTGTACTTCAAGTATGACAGTAGCTTTCTATTTTTCTGCCCCGATACCCAATATAGTTCTAGTTTAATCTTAAGTAGCTCTTTTTATCATAGTTGTTTCACTCCTTGACACCCCCATGCTATACTGATTGGCATTTAGAGCCACTGCGCTAGCCATTCCACCTTATTTCTTCTCTTTCTCTCTCAGTTGTCTTGTCCTAGCCAAGCTTACTTACCCACTGTTCTCCCACCACTTGCCAAGTGTTTTTGTAATCCTGGAGCACAGACACACCCGTTTGTGTATTGTCTCTTACTACTGTCCTGGTACTATGGCAGAGCTGCACAGTAGTGACCCCAGTATGCCCGGAGAGCCTGGGTCATTGGCTGCCTGGCCTGCACTCAGCACGTTTGCTGACTCCTGCAGTACGCCTTTCGGACTGTGTTTTATTTGTGGACTAGGTTAGACAACATTGGTATCTCAGCTTATATTACTTTTTCCCTTTCTACAAATAGTAAAGTCTTTCTTTTTCTTTTTAAACAATACAGTGGATTGTCCTGTGTGTGGGGTTAACATTCCAGAAAACCACATTAATAAGCACTTAGACAGCTGTTTGTCACGTGATGAGAAGAAAGAGAGCCTGAGAAGGTAAGAAAGTTGACCATAACCCTCCGTTGCTGTAGCTAGATGCTTCTGATGCTTTATAACTTGAAAAAAATTCAGTATTTTATGTCTTTGACCAGTTGTCATATCCCCTCTCCCACTTGCTTTTTTCCTTTACTCTTGTTTGGCGCACCTCCCATTTCCTCTCCTCTTGTTCTTTCCTCAGCTCTCACTTTGCCAAATGTGATTAACTGTATTGAATATGTAACTACTTAATATACTAAGTGTGTATCTGACTTTTAAATTTTGACCTGAGAAATTAGTGATTTAGAGTTCAAAAAGTTTCTAGAAAGAAGAAACTTCTTTTCTTCTTAGAATTTTAGAGCTCCTGTAAAATCTCTTGGCCAAAGAAAGCAAGGTGAAACTCTGAATATGGAAAATATGAGATCTTGCTGCCGTTCCTAGAATACTCAAAAGTTTTAAAATTTTAAATCAAGCTTTTTCAAAAGTTTACTTGGTTTTGGATAAGGCAGGTATAGATAGATACGTGATACAAGAAAGGATGCCAAAGCAGGTATAAAATATAATGTCCTTGATAAAAAATATTTTTAAAAACACATAATGTCCTCCTAGGTTGTATAACTAATGAGTCATCACCACAGTGTCAGCATCCAGCTGCTATGCTAATCCGCCTCCATTATACATCAGAGTAACAGTGATTTCTTAAACCAGTCCACTATTATTATACATATACGCTGCTTAGGAATGCAATTTTAATTGAAGTTTAATTGCAGAGTATTAAAGGAAGCAGAAGCTTCGATTTAGATGAATCTGGTGCTGAAGGGAGGAAGTGAGGTGGTAGTTTAGGGACAGTAAATAGCACCATCAAGGGAAGATTTTATTTTTAAAAATAGGGTTGTTTAAGCCTTCAGTCCTTTTTCTGGTAGTTTCTGCAGGGAGAGAGCAGATGGTCAGTGGAACAAAGTGCTGAACATAAGACACCAGCAGTTCAGTAATGAAGTTATCCTGGACCTGCTGAAAGGACTTTTTTGAACAGGAAGTAAGGGGGAAAGAATAGGTAATAATTCAGAGTTTTGGGAAACAAGAGGAAGGAAGCTGAAGACCTGAGTAGTATTTGGAAAGTGAGATGAACAGAATGATTGGCCCTTCTTTTTGATCTATTTTGAAGGAGTTGGAGGAGTGTTTTCCAAAAGCCATGCTAGTGAGGCAGGGCCATCTTAGCATTTTTAAAAAAAAATCATTAAAGATAAAGAGGTGGCACTTTTAAGAAGTATGTGTGGGACAAATGCAAGTTCCAAAGGACAGACTCGTGCTGTGGTAACTTGTATCAGCTGATAGAGGAAGTACAGTGATCTCTCATTCATTACCCTGAGAGACACACTTGACTCCAGACCTGGGAAGTCTTGTATGCATAGTTCTCTCTGCTACCATAGGGATAAATTTGTTGATGAAATAAGAATTTTTGGTTACTTAATGGGGATTCTGAATAAATGAAAACTGGATAGTTGAAGACCCCCTTTTCTTTTGAGAAGTTTGTTTGCTTTTTCCCCCAATAAAGTGAGTTGGGGGTATATAAGCTGAGTATTTTCTACCTAAAGAGTAAGAAATCAGTGCTGATAATCCAGTAATCTAATTTGGGGCTTTATTTTCTAGATTCATTAATTGTATTCTAATATATTTAGCTCTGTATTTAAAGTCATGTTCACACATGAGTGATATATTAAGTTTAAGTTCAGTAGTGATTCCAAATCCTGCTCTGTAGAGTGCTGTAGTCTTGACAGTTGGTCTGTAGTACAACTTAGAATGAGTGCAGACTGTGTTACCTCTTACTACATTGAAGGTGATAAGAAACCATATATAAAGATAACTAATGGGCATGTTTTCATCAAGTAATTCCTACATTTGTTTTAGCCCTAAACCTTTTTGGCCTCATAATTCACATCTTGCAAAATTGTTCAGACATACTTAGCCAGCCATTCTGCAGCATCTCTCTGTAGTTTTGTCCTGTCTCTGGCATCTGGCCACTTTGAAGAGCCTTGGCCTGTTTTTAAGTCTCCACTGCAACACCCAGACAAGCTGTCTCCTAGATCTGGATGAAAACTCTTAACCCATCCTGTGTGAAATCATCTCACAGTTCATTCAGAGCACATACTCTTCCTTTTGATGTTCTCAGATTGTGAGTGCTCTCAAATGCAAGATTCATTTTCACTAAATTGTGGAAGATGGATCAGTGTCAGTTTCATGTTTAGGGGAACTTTCCTCTGGCTTCCTAATTTTAACTTCCTGTTAGAAATTGTTGGCCTCAGGTAGTGCTTTTCATTGTAAATGTTGGTGAACCATATAGTTCTTTATTAGAACCTCACATTTATAAGTTTTATAACCTATCTTTAATAAAATAAATGTGTTGGATAAGGACTTAATGATTTGTTTCTCTTTGTATGCTTGTTATAAACGCCTGGAAAATGATTCAGTGGTTGCAACCTACTGTGATTTTATTTTGCTATAATTTTGTCAAATCTTGGAGTCCAATTGGCTGTCATTATTATAGGAACAAATTTCAGAAAAATATACTCTGTTGGAGTTTGCAGGTGTTTTTATAGTTAATTACTTTCAGATTTTAGTAGTAGAGCATAAAATAAATTATTTACCCAGGAAATAGCACTACTGGTTAGTAGAGAAATATTTGGTAGTTTTATCTATTCTAGAGTGTACTGTTTTTCTATATATAATCTTTGGACCTGATCTTTTTATCTGGGGAAACTGTATCAGTCCGTGCTTACTAGAGGAATAGATTTAATGCACGATAAACAAATATGAGAATTTACAAGATTGGCTTATGGTGGAAGCCCAAGAGTGCAATAGGATTGTGTGGTGGAGATCCAGAGGATCCAGTTGAAGACCTGGAGGTCACTATAGTGTCCTGTGTGAGTGTATATGAGGAGGCCAAAGGATCTGCGATAGAAGGCTGAAGGGTTCGTGCTGGAAGCCAGGAGACAACATCCAAGATAAAGGTGAAGACTGGAGTGTCTCGGAAGAAACAGAAGCAAGCCTCCCTTATTCTATTCAGGCGACAAGCCCTTTCACATCTAGGGTGGGTCTTGTGTCTTCTGTAAATCCTTTCAGTCACACTCAGAACTATGCTGATCCAGTTTAGTTGGGTGTTTCTTACTCAAGTTGGCACAGTCAGTTAACTATCACAATTCACCCCTTATCAACTTAACAATTTCTGTAATCATAGTCTCCAGATACAAGGACAAGTTCATGCTGCCACTGTCCTGCATACAAATGGAATCATGCTAATTCCCTCCCCAGAACAGAAGACAAGTTTTCTTTGGGTGATGCTTACTCATAACATTTAATGACTTGAACACTGTAACATAGGTTTAATAATACTTAAAAACCAATATCATCAAGATCATCAACATTATATTACATGGGAAGCATATTAGATGAGAACTATTACAATTATAATCCTTGTTTTCATAACTGATCATGGGATCATAGCTGGTATTTAGAATTACTTTATTCCACTATCCATTCTGTATTCCCTTGCCCTTCAGCAAGCACCTCAGCAAGTCTTGGTTGTTTCCCTAGTGGGTGACCCATACCTTCATTCCTGAAGGTTCCGGACCATTTGTCATCCTGACTGGATTGGGCTGTTGTCATTTCCCACTGACCTTAATAACAGGCAAGGGTAATATTAGGAGGTGCACTCCTGTGCTCCAAGTATATTCTTCTGTCCATTGTGGAGGAATAGACTAATTTCCCCTGATAGTCTGGCTCAGTCACCCCTGACATCACCATAGCTCCCTTTTTAGCTTGTTTACTCAGGCACAGGGAGACCAAAATGACCAGAGGGAGTTCTTACTTCCAGTTCAGTGGAATCATTGTGCTTCCTGGAACAAGCGTTTCCCATTCTGAACTCAGACTTTGAGGGCAGCAGAGGATAAAGCCATAGGAACAGAAAGCAAAATTGTTGCTAGTGGATCCCTAGGGGTAGTGTGAGTAGTCTCATTCTCATTCCACCCATTGATTCATGGAGCATGGGAGACACAGCACCATATAGTGGACGCTGATTCACAGCACATGCAGCCTTTTGAAGAGCCAGGCCCTAGCCCTGAAAGCTATTGCCACCTAGCTGGCACTCTTAACTGATTGTCTTTGAAAGACCATTTCACCCTTCTGCCAATGCAGCCATCTGGATGGGGAGAAACATGGTAAGACCAGTGAATTCCACAAGCATGAGCCCACTGCCTCACTTCTTTGACCATGAATGTGTTTCTTGGTCAGAAACAATGCCGTGTGGAATCCCATGATGGTGCAGAGGCGTTCTGTAAGTCCATGGATGGTAGTTTTGGCAGAAGCATTACATGCAGGTAAGGCAGACCCATATCCAGAGTAAGCGTTTATGCCAGTAAAGATAAAGTGCTGTCCTTTACATGATGGAAGTGGTCCAATATAATAACTTGCCACCAAGTCACAGGCCGATTGCCCCAGGGAACGATGCCATGTTGGGGACTCAATGTTGGTCTCTGCTGCTGGCTATTGGGCATTAAGCAGTGGCTGTAGCCAGATCCGTCTTGGTGAGTGGTAGTCCATGTTGCTGATCTCATGCACAATCTCCATCCCTGCCACCATAGCTACTCTGCTCGTGATCCATTGGGCAATAAGAGGGGTGGCTGAAGAATGAGCTTGACTGCTGTCTATAGAACCAGGTCATCCTAGCCATTTGATAAAGTCCTCTTCTGCTGACATCACTTTTTTGTCAGTGTTTACATGGTATACAAATACTTTTATATTCCTTGCCCATATGGAGAGGTCTATCCATATACCTCTTCCTTAAATTCTTTGTCACTAATCTTCTATTCATGTTCCTTCCAAGTTCCTGACCATCTGGCCAGACCAACAGCCCATGAATCAATATACAGTTGCACATCTGGTAGTTTTTTCTTCCAGGCAAAATGTACTACCAGGTGCACTGCCTGATGTTCTGCCCACTGAAGATTTCCCTTCACCACTGTCCT